CGAGATGCAATAGACTACGCCAACAAAGAAGAGGTTAAAATGAAAAAAAAATTATCAAAAACATACAAAAAAATTACGACCGGGTGATTCAAGAAAAAACAAAATTTCCAGATGTTTGAATTTAATAATTATTGATTAATCAAGTAGTAAGTTTATGCATTATTTATGAGTTTATCTATGTATTAAGTTTTATATTTGCTTGTTTATTATGTTTAATCTATATAATATGTACTATTCTCTTGCTAGTTTGTTTATGTTTAATAATTAGGGGACATGTTCTTAACCAATCGTCATGAAACAGGACACATTGAATGTCACTAAAAACATACAACTCGGACTAACTAAAAATCGCCTGTGTAGAAGATCCATAATATATCATGGCCATCCTATAAAGAAACTGAAGCAGCAACAACAGGTGCCATCGATATACCAATCGGTCGACCTGAAACAAGCTGCTCCATGCACATCAACATAAATACACCGCACTCTCCAAACATCCCTTCTTGTTGGGGCACGTCCGTAACATCCGTAACAGTGATGGATGCTTTCTGAACAGGCAAACCCATGTGGTTCCAATAGCCAATTTCTAGCAGAATGCGGTCCATAAGCTCTTCAAACACACAAAATCAATAATCTTCACGGTGCCAAATAATCGGAAGCTGTCATACAACTTCAACGACAGCGTGTCCATCCATAACTCACCAAGTACCCAATGATGTGGGTTGATGCATATTGGAAAATAAACCTGTTTTAACACACAACCGTTGCAATTAATTACAACATTTAATTAGTGTAATATGACAATTAAAGTGACTGATAATATATATATATATATATATATATATATATATATATATATATATATATATATTATTTCCTTACTTATACGGTCAACTTCTAGCCAAGATTTACATCCATCCAATGGGTCAAACGGATTTCCCATTGCACTTCCTGCCCACCGGAACATCTTAAATGCACCAAAAAATGACGATGGCATGATTGTCCATCGAGCATCGTTCGGTCTCCGCTCATTCAAAAGCCTTCCCCATATGTCAACATGCTGCATTTAAAATTAATTTAAACATAAGTAGCTTATTAAATTATTTAAATTTTAAATATAAATGAATGTCTTCATACCGATTCATCTAAAAATCCCAATTCACTTGCATAAAAAAACAGATCCCAAAACTTTGCTTCCATTTTTTCATTGTATAACTGATATTTCAAAAACACAGCCGGTTTGTTTCCCATGTATAGAGCAGGGGCGTTACAACCCGGATTCACATACGGCTCCAATAAAAGTGTCGGGGGATCGCTGACAAATCCGGGGGGTGGTGGTTCGTTGTGTATTACCTCACATGTACGATATCGGGTGACATTTTGAACCTATATTATATACGTAGTCAATAACTATCCATATAGTAATAAAATTATAGTAAATATGATTTTTAACATACTTACCGAAACGTATGGGGAGCTAAGATATTGAGAAGGTTTCAATTGCCTAACCGGACGACTTTCTTTCACAACAGGAGGTCCGGGTATATGATTTTCCGCATCCACAATCTCGCTAGCAACAACCTTCTTTTTCTTCTTCTTCTACAAAAAAAATATTAATTTTTTTTAATATACTTTAATAAAATAAAAAGTTTAATATACAAAAAAAATTATAACCTCCTTCACGATTTCTATTTGTTTTCCAGAATCAAACAATGGTGGATTATCAACATCTTCATCCTCGTTTACTCGATTTGATTTTTGTGGGCTACCAACCACATTCTCATTCCCCTACATTAAAAAGAAAAAATAATTAATAAAAAGCTTCGTTAAAAAATTAATTAATACATCATATATATTTAAATTGATAGTAATACCTCAAAAGCTTCGTTAAAAAATTCTTCCAAATCATCACCGTCTCGAGTTCCACCTTTATTTTTCAATCTTCGGATTTCTTCCTCCAAAGATTGAAGTCTTGCCATTATTTCTCGCGCGGTTTTTTGTTAATTCCCACCGTATGAGTTCCCTCGGTAGACTTGGAAGATTAACTGTTTCCACAGGATGGATCAGACGAAGATGCCCCCTACATAAATGATTTCATATATCAATAATAGTTGAAAATTTTTAATATACTAGATTCTGCTTTTACAAATTTACTTACATCATTTCTAAAGTTGTAGCGTACAGAAGAAGGGACTTCAGACGATTCACAATTCAGACTAGTAATATATGACAAATAATGTGGAGTAGAGGACTCGACATCTGAGGCAATCATCTTTTTTTTTGGGTTGATGCGTCTCGTCCTGATCAACATCGAAAACATCGCAAACTTTCGTCCAAGTTAACCTCCTAATATGAAACCAGCGCAATATACGAGGATATAAATAATTGCGTCGTATCGCAGCCGCTCCCCGAATTACTGGGAACATCTCCCATATCCATATCTTGTAATAAATATACATTAATTTATAAGTGTTAGCACTAACTAAAATTTTCAAAAAAATTAAAACCGATAAATTATTAAATATATTTTTTTAATTACTTAAATATACCTTCAAAGGAATAACAAAACCCGATAGTGTGTACACAATCGCTTTTGTTGGATGGTTGGACATATTATTCTCAAATTTCTTAAACATACCCGACAATCTAGGGTATGTTTTAGTCCATAGATAACTCCCCCACGAGAACCTATATTATAAGAAAAAAGTATTAGTTAAACGTATAAAAATTAGTATTTTATTATAAATATTAAATTGACAAATACCTATCCCATTGATCCAGGTTCTCCACCACCCACAAAAATTCCTTGGTGACTTTATCATTAAGCTCCTTTCCCAAAAAACCTTGATTGAGGATATATAGCAAAATGGCACGGACACCGTCGTGAGCCGATATGTCATTGAATCGTTGATTCAAGATAAGGAACTCTAAATCTTCTACAAGTAAAGAAGTGTCTGTGCGATATGGGAAGACTCTGGACCGAAATGTATTTTCACCATATCCGTTTTTATACATGGTTGAAAATTCGATCCTTGATGTAGGACACCGGCCCATGTAAAGTCCGGTCACAAGAAAAGACTCCTCCGACCCAAATGGCAGTGTACGTCTAGAAAACCTAAAATATAGATGCTCAGTTGCGTCTGTTTCAGCAGTAGGACGCAACATATGCAGTAACAGGCCATGAATAAGAAGTCCGTCTCCGGACTGAGCTGGTAGGTCCAACAAGTAACCGAAGCTAGTTGTTGAAAAAAGATCACGCGCGGGTCCGTTCAAGCGACTCAAAACTTCATGCAATTTATGGCATGAAGCTTTGACAGATAAGTGACCCATCATCGTTTTGTTTGGAAGCTACAAAATTAAATAAACATGAAGGTTAAATAAAGTTTTATAAAAGAAAAAAAAACTGATAAACAATTAGAGAAAACATACAATATAAGACTTAATCATTTCATATATTCTATTTACTTTGTATAAAATACCAAAGGAAATTAATTGACTACATTTTTTTGTATTTTCTATACTACTAGTATACCAAATTTAGCATTGTACTTTGAAAATGGTGTGACAATAACATATTGTATAACAAACCCGAAAGTACCAAAACATAATGTTATTTTATCAATACAGTATACTTCAAAGTATCTATACATTATAAACATAAAAACTTTTTCAAATCGATAGTACATTGCTATTGTATGCTATAATTGAGACATAGAAAATAACATCATTTATAACAACATGCAAACATTGAATCATAACATATATACAAGGGGATACAATCCTTAAAAATACGTTTAAACAATTTTTTTTTTGAAGAAAAATGAAATATATATATATATATATATATATATATATATATATATATATATATATATATATATATAAAACCATAGGTTTTAGGAAACCTACGATTTTTTTTCCAACAAAAAATCATAAGATACATACAAGGGGATACAAATGTTTAATAGTTATAAATTTTTTTTATTAAAAAAAAAACGTATTTTTTGGGAAACCTACGGTGTACAAGTGTTTACTGCACAAACTGTGTAGTAAATGATTGTACACCGTAGGTTTCCAAATAACCTACGGTTTCCTTTTTTTTGTTTTATAAAAAAAAATTATATGACTACAAAATACATAAAGTTCCGATCCTATTGAATCGATTTTTAAAAAAAAAAACTAAAAAAAAAATTTTCGTACGGTTCATACGAAACCGTAGGTGTACAAGTCGACACTGCACAATCTGTGCATTGGGCACTTGTACACCGTAGGTTTCGTATGAAACCTACGGTTTTATATATATATTTTTTTCGATTTTTTTCAAAACAAATTTAACCCCATATACAAATCCTACTCCTAATCACAAACACGGTAAAATTTTGATGAAAAGTAGACAAAACTAGTTGTTCTTCGAGTGCTCAATTGAGAGAAAAAAGTAGCCAAACCAAAGAAAACAATAGGAAAAAGACCTAAACTGAAATTTTTTTCATTATATACTTTGGGCTAATAGGCCACGAAAAAGTAAACGGGTCCGTGAAACAGTAGCCCATTACCACGAAATAGTACTTTTCGGCCCAAAACAGTAGTCAACGACGTTGACCGTAGTCAACCATAAGTTGACTACGGTTTTGTGGGCTATTTTTGGCTAAGTGGTATTTTTTGGCTATTTTTTAATAATTATTTAAATGGCTAGATTTGTATTTTCCTATATATATATATATATTTCCTATATATATATATATATATATATATATATATATATATATATATATATATATATATATATATCCAAATTTCCGATGTTAAAATGCAATAAGTTCTAAAAGCTCTTATGAAATAATAAATAAAGATAATATGAAAATGAAAATAAAATATGAAAAGGCTTTTAAACCTAAAAGAAAAAACATAAGGAACAAAATTGTAATTTAGCCAAACTAAACAAATAAAATAAGCATAATTAATCCACCCACACTTCCTCAAACAAAGGATCCTCCAAACTCATTGGAGAATAAACACACTAGTACACTTGTAGCTTTTTTCTCCACCAAGAACCGGAGTTCTAGAAAAAGTGGGAAAAAAAAGACCCACTGTGTGTTTTCGTGTGTGTTTGTGAGAGAAACAAAGAGGACAAAAAGGGCCTTCCATCATGTTACCTGCTCTCCTTCTTTGTGCTTAATTATATGGGTATTTATCGATTCCTCTCTCTAAAAACCATTAATCCCCATTTCTTCTCGTTTTCTGACTTGGGATTTTTCCATTCTTTCTGTTCTTCATCGTCTTTGATGGCTTCACGAGTTGTGTTCTTGATCTAAAAGCATGAATATGACTATTTAGTGTTTCTAACGAAATTCTGCACTAATGGGTAATGTTAGTGGTAGAGAAGTAAAGATTAAAGAGTTTAATCAAGCTGATTACTACATGGAATGTGGCCATGGGCCGGCGCAAGTTAACAGTAGCAACAGCTATCCTGCGCATATGCTTCACCCCCCTAGGGCTTCTCAGTTCCCCATGACTATCACTCCTCAGGTAACTCAAGCTTCTACATGTATGTATGTCCATGGTGGTTGAATGGGTAATTTGTATTTATAGGTTTTCTTTCTTGCAAAATTGGATCTTTAATGGGGTAAATCTTTATATGAACATGAGTAAAAAAAATCATATAATAGAATTATTTATGCTACAATTGTTGATTTTGTAAAAGTCGTTTCTTTCTTGCTAAATATAGTTTTTTTTTTTTTTAAATTCTTCAAGAATCAAGATTCATTTGCACCAAGTTACATTTTTGTTGCATGAAGTTGTAATAGTCACATTATAATGGTGTTTAATATACCAAATGCCAATTAATTTTGTTGCAACTAAGTATGTATATACAAAATTACTAAATTAATAGGTAAAATAAAGTTATCCAAGTAATACAATCTCAAAATAATCAAATAGGTATATCCAAAAAGCATGTTACCAAAATAAAAACTTATTAATTACCATATAAACACTTGCAAAATGCAGAGTCAAAGAACCGAATTCAACCCAGAAAACAACATAAGCATACCAGCAGTAATCGATTGGACTCATGGTGGAAAGCATGTTGCAATTGAAGGATCATGGGATAACTGGAGGACGAGGTTGAAATGCTATTTCTCTATTCTCTTTTTTTTTTATTGATAAGAAGTTTTATACTTTTTTTTGTCCTTTTTCTTGAATCTTTTTATTCTATCAGGGAGTTATTAGAAGGTTCAGGCACTCATTTCTCAATTCTTAAGGTGCTAAATTCTGGTGTTTACTATTATCGTTTTATCGTTGATGGGGAATTGACTTACTCTCCTGATTTACCACACGAAAGTGATGAGTTTGGGAATATTTACAACGTTTTGGACTTAAAGGTATACTTCTTTAGTTATTCTACTATCATTATCTGTCTTTGTCTCTGTCTGTTCTGTCTGTCCTAACAGTAAGAATGTGAGAATCTAAAGAAACTTGACGTTATGATTTACCGCTCTGTCTATCCTGTCTGTGAGAATCTAAAGAAACTTGACGTTATGATTTACCGCTCTATGTTGACAGCCATGGGGTTCTTTTACCTTTTTTGGTTGTGGGACCGGTTGTTAGTTTGATATTGACGTTTACTTTTTTTGTAATGTTGGTTGTGGGACCCGTTGGTAATGCCACCCATGGAAAAACATTTACCTTTTCTTTTTTCATTTTGGTTGTGGGACCCCGTGGCATTGCGGGTGTCATCCATGGGTATCATTTACTTTTTTTTGTCATATTTTTGCTATTAATATGAATAAGACGTGCGTTTCGTTATGGAAAATTGTTTTTATTTTTCTAGAAAACGTAATGAGAAAATAGAGTTGAGTTTTAATATTCAGATTTCAATGAAAATGTTGGAAAACACGTTTTGGTTTAAACTAGTGGAGTTTTCTTTTTTCCATTTTAGAAATTTAAAAAACTTTTGAAAACTATAAAAATCACTTTTTTAATTTACATACAATTTGGAAATTAGAAAATTTCCATTTCTTTGGAAATCTTTTGAAAACTGAATCAACAGAATGCGTTTTCAAAATTTTCATTTTCATTTTCACTTGAAAATTTTCCACAACCAAACTCAACTTAAGATTTTGTCTTTTTTAATAATTTTGATGTCTTCCAGGGTTATTACAATGAAAACGTGGTGAGAGATCAAGAAACCGAATACTCTTCTTCCCCAATATCAAGCTACAACAATGCATCCTTCACTTTAGATGATTATAATGAGAAATTACCCGAAATGCCCCCGCTATTACAACATATGCCTTTGAATCAAGCATCTTCTTCCACGAGCTATGAAGGGGTTTTTCAGAAGCCTTTATCGACCAATTTGGATCATTTGTATATTAAGAGAGATGGTAGCAGTCAACCCGTTGTTGCTCTGAGTTCTTCCCAACGATTTCGGTCAAAATTTGTGACAACGGTGCTTTACAAGCCATTTAAAAAAGCAAGAGAGTAAGAAAGTAAACAATTTTTTTTTTTGTTTCGTGGTCTTTTTTTTTTTTTGGTTTATTTTGGACTTTTTAGATCAGAATTTGTGTTTTGGAGGCCATTGAGTCTATAGTTAAGGAAAAGGTCTGATCTTGATTTATAAAGATTCTATATGATTACTCCATTTTGCAATTGGAAATTTTTTTTAGTGTATATGATTAGAACCAGCTATAAATCGGTTCTCTGTTTGAAAGGCCACACATACTCCCCCATTTACAAGCCACATTGGATGCCTCTTTTGAATAGTTAAAAGACTTTCAAGCATAAGTCGATCTACTTTAATTAAAAATTAATTGTTTTTTTTTTCTGTTTTGTTGTTTATTTAGGTAATTAATTGGAGCCGATTCTTCCATTTAAAAAATTGGATTCCTATACATAAAATATATGTTTATTGACTTGTATGATAGTTGTAAAATGTTGTACCTTACGGTGATGGAACAATTTTTTATGTGGAATGCTAGCCAATTAGTTTGCTAAACATAGTAATTTTTTATTATATAAATGTATTTATATATTAGAAATCAACTAGTGATAGTAATTTTTTATTATATAAATGTATTTATATATTAGAAATCAACTAGTGATTGAGTCTACGTTTTGCAGCGAGTTTTTTATATGTTTTTCTTGCGTATTAGGAGTGAAAAACGAAGGAGTAAAACTGATATTTTACAAAGTTTAAGGTGGAAGGGATGAAAGAGATATTTTAAAAAGTAAAAAGATCATTTTACGAAATACAAGGGTTGCAAGTGACAGATTATACGAAATTAAGGGATTAAAGTTGCACTTTAGGTTGCAAGTAACTATTATATAATGTTAGGTTAAAAGTTGCATTTTACACATTCTTGTATATTGTGCATTAACAATTAACAATTGTAATATTAGCTAAAATGATATTTTCTGTTGATGATCAAAGTAACATTTTAAAAAACAGGAGTGAAAAATGCATTTTACAAAGTAAATGATGAAAAAATCGTATTAATATATACTACAGGATAAGTATGAAAGTTTAGAAAACCAAATGGATGAAAATGATATTTTACAAAGTTGAAGGTGGAGAGGGAAAAATGATATTTTAAAAAGTAAAGGATAAAAAATATCATTTTACAAAATAAAATGATTAAAAGTGACATATTATATAAAATTAAGAGATTAAAATTATACTTTATTATTAACATGTTAGTACATTGTGCATTACAACTTGTACTATCAGTAATAGTAACTTTGTCTAACAACCACAAAGTTGATTTATATTTATAATTACTTTATTTTTATTGATCTTTTAACTAGTTTATATATTATGAGTGTTTTCTTTGTTGGCTGAACTACTTCAAAATACCACTAACCTATGATCTTTCATTTGAGATGATCACTCCTTACCGTTAGGTCAAAAACCTTTTTGGTAGAAGTTGTAGTTTTTTTTTTGTGCAAAATTTGTGGGCAAAAACTTTTAGCTTTTAAATATATCAAATTATATAAAAACTAAAAGTTAAAAGCTCTAAAAAAAACCAAATGAAATTTTTTTTGGAATCGAGGTTGTTTTGTTTAAAATAAAAACTAAAAAACATAGCTTTTAAATTTTCTTTTTTAAAAATTATAAGGTAAAAATTATTAAAAGTTATGTCCGGAAAGACACTCTTTTAAATTAGAAATATAGCCTAATCTCTTAATTACTTTGTGAAAAATAGCAAAAAAAACTCAAACCATCTGCGATATTACTTGTCCATCTGCGAACGTATAAGTCGCTAAAGCACATCCGTGCTTTAACGACTTGTACGTTTGCAGATGGACTCAGTTCATCTGTAATTTTGCGTTCATCTGTGATTTCCCCTTTTTCAGGGGTATAAAAACGTAATTTCTTTCATACCTTTCCAAATTTAAGCTATTTCGCTACTCATTCGAATAATCTTTTTGGTACAATACCCCCTTCGTTATATAATTATGGAAGTATTTCTTCGTTTATCATAAGAAACAATTCGCTCATTGGTTCAATCGATCTAAACTACTCATCAATGATAAACCATACGTTCCTTGATTTAGCCGATAACAAATTTCTATGCACTATTCTTGATAATCTTCTTGCCTGCCCAAAATTAAAAATGATCGATCTTGGTGGGAACAATCTCACTGGACATATCCTAGAAACCTTCAAAAGATTCATATCTTTATCTTATCTTTCACTCTCAATATGCAACTTGAACAACCTCTCTGGTTCCCTAAATGTTCTTCAATATTGCCCAAATTTAACCACATTGGTTCTTACCGGAAACGCTGACAATGAAGAAATTCAATCTATTCAATTCTCCGATTCAAATCGCTCACCACCTAAATATGCCAACTCATCTGGTCACCTAAAGAGTCTTTACCTTAAGGCGATATTTAAACAAAATGTATAGTTTGTAGTTATGTTTGTACAAATACCTAAACAAGCCATACTCTGTTTTTTGAATGATTTTAAAACAAACTTACCATTATAAATCATTTTTCCTATTTTATTATATAACTATTAACTATAATTGATATATATATATATATATATATATATATATATATATATATATATATATATATTTGAATGAATGATAGTAAGGCACACAACTAGAGTATAATTGCATTAAGAAGGATAGGACATGTGAGTTATGTAACTTTTAAGAACTTCTAGCTTTTAGCATCAACAAAAAAACTTCAAATCCAAAGACTATTTCAAATAACGTTTCACAAGAAGCTCTTTTATATCTTTGCAAATTGATTTAATTATCTTTTTTTTAAATTATGTTTCTATTTTATATTTTATAAAGATGTCATTTTATGTTATTTTATATGTTTTAAAAATTTCTAGCTATTTTTAACGAACACTCATACACATATAAAAGTTATAGCTTCCAGTTTTTAGCTACCAGCAGCCGCCCATTAGCTACCACCTATCAGCTACCAACAATAACAAATCTATAATAGAAACACACGTGTTTCTTAATTAAGTGAAGCGAAAAAAAACAGAGTGAACAATACATGTGATGGGCCAAGTCGAACCAATAAAAAAAAGACTCGATTTACAAAAAGGCGAGTTCAACATGACCAGTTGAATGCCCTTAAAGGAATAAAAAGTGCCTACTTGATGCCTAAAATCGGACTTTTGCAAAATAATAATAATAATAATAATAATAATAATATTAATAATAATAATAATAAATAAATAAATTGCACAAGTGGATTTTTTTAACTCATTTGCAACAACCATTTTCTAGAACCAACAATATAGGAGTTGTGTTGTTTTTCAAGTCTCTTATAACCCTTGACAATTCATTTTTATAACATCAAACAACTACGTCTCTTTTTTTTTTATTTCTGATGTGGGATGATTTTTGATAATATTAATCATTTGAATTACAAATTTAAATATAAGGTTCACCATGTCTTTTATTTATTTGTTTCTTATTTAGTCCAATAATATAAAATAAGTCCTAATTTTTTTTTAAAAAATAGATCCTAAATTTTTATTATATGTATATCATATAAAATTTTAAAACTAAATGGGTCATACCACCAATTTGAACACACCTATCTTTTCTCAAACTTGATACTATGTCTTTAACTTTTTTATTCACAGTATTAACGTTTTGGGTTCAGCTCGGGCCCAATCAATTTAAGCGAGTCCAATTTTTAAGCCGATCATATTACATTATATATATATATATATATATATATATATATATATATATATATATATATATATATATATATATATATATATATATATATATATATATATATATATATATATATATTAAATCTGAAGGAGCTTATGAACAGTATCTTACCTGGATACTGTTCATCGGGTTAGTTTACTCAACCACGGTTAACTCCACCGATCCACCGCTAGCCCTCCTAGACCCTTCTTCTACCTTGCTTCAGTTTGAAAAACTCCATATCCCGTTTCCTTTTACAATTTCTTCAGTCAGCTTCCAAAATCAACCATGGCTTTACCTACAGATGGAAGAAAAATCACCATCACCGTCTCTCTTCACCCTTCTACTATGCCAACACATTATCTCTTCACTCCTTGTTCCGAGCCGCCTTCCAGTTCCTTCCACCGCTACCTTTTTCCTCTCTATCGTTATCACTCCTTTTTTTGCTCCGATTGATTACTTGCAGAAACTGCCTCGGCGCCTCGCCGATTTCTAAAACTGCAGGTTATTTGATTCCCTTTGTTTAACTTTGCTTTGATTAGGATTCTCTTCAGGATATTGACGGGACCATGCAAAAGCCCTAAATCGTCGTCTACGTCTCCATCTCCACTCTCCTCTGTAAATCATTCGACCACCGTTAAGCCACCAGGTCTGTGATCGACCCCCTTACATCCTAACGCAATGTCTTCTCCTATGAACATCAGTTTTTTGATATTTTGGAGGTAGCAAGTTATAAATGAAGGAGACAACACAACTTAAAGTAATTTCTTCTTCTTTTTTTTTTTTTTGCCTTTTTTGTTTATTCTTACATTTTTTCTGCATTTTGGGTCAGATAGGGTTTCTTGGAAGCTCGATTGAAATTCGTTTCTTCATTAATATGCGATGAAGATCAACAGAGGACAAGTAGTAGTTCTGGAATAAAAGTGAAATCTGTCTATGTCATTTTGGAGCTCAATCCAAATTTTGGACTTATAGGATGTTTAATAAGCTCAGTAGAAGATTTATTATATGTCTTAATTGTTGTGATTTTACACATTTTAATCGCAAAAGTTGATTCTAACTAAGTTAAATTCATTTATGCTTGGGATCAAAAACTACAACCATGAATTGATCCATCATTGCCAAATGATTTGTACAAAGCAACTTTGTATGAACACCTCTGTACACCATCAATTGGACAATGAATTAGAGAAAAATAAAGCAAGTTTGAGATGTAAGGTTATGTAGGTTTAGTCTATGTATATTTGATAATGCAAATGATGATTAACATTAACATGACTTTTATGACATTTTCTGTGAACAGTTACCGAAGAAGTGGACCAACCTTTACCAAAGTTTCCTCCAGGTAATGGAAGTTCAGTCATAATATTTTTCTTAACGATTGTATTAATAAATTACAGTTTTACCCTTTTAGAGAAAAAAAGGATGCCCCACTTTCTGTCAAGTTCTCCCTATCCCTTCTAGTGTTTCTTTGAAACATGTTGCTAGCACCTTGATCCAATGTTGAATATGTTGACTGTTTTTATATTTAGTGATTGTCCGATTCAAGATATGTAGTCCGAATATAGCTGAAGGAACATCAGTAATTGTCTTCTTGCCCAATACAATTGTTCCCTTGATTTATAGATTCACGTAATTTTCACATGAAATATGGTATCCTTTTTGCAGATAAATGTAATTGGCAGCTCCGGATAAATGGAAGGTCAATGATGGACTTAAACTCAGTTATGTTGGTGAATCTATGCACAA